GCCTTTATGTTTTGCGGCAGCAGCTGCACATCATCTAGAGGAGCGGTTCGGCGGGTGACCGAGCGCTCCAAAGGAGATGGATGAGTTATCCCAAATTGCTTGAGGGCTCTAACGCAGTAAGATGGTTGATAAGTGGAAGGGGCGATGTTGAGCTGTGAACAGGTTAGATCTGGACCTGCTCCATAAAGAGAGATTGGCCGTTAATTTTGTTGCAGTCGTGTGGTAGAAATGTTTAACTGCTTGAGAGGGCAAAGAGGGATGATGAAGGGGAGAGGAGAGGGCTGCTCTCTGAAGCAAGGTGGGTAATGACAGCTGTACTCTTAATTACCAGCTTTGTGCCGCCTTGGGGCTTCTCTCTCTGCTGCAAAACATTATCTCATTTGTGTGCAATAAAACAGAGTTCTTTTAATGACCGGGTCCCCCTCGGGTAGAGTGCCTCTCTTGCTGATGCTGTTGATTTGTTTTTTAAGCAGGCTTAGGCTGTCTGCAGGAGACAGTTTTCATAGAGTCTGTGAACATAAACAATGTTTCAGCAGAATAATGTCTCTCGCTGCCTTCTCTCATGTTTCAAATAACTTGCAGCTGTATTAGTTATCTGAAATGCAGCAGTGTTCTGTCAGAACCCAGGATGATGTGAGTGGGTAAAAGATTGCTCTTCACACGCCGAGTTTCTTGAATTTCTGTCCCTGAGAATCTGTCGGTGGTGAATGCTGGAGGCAGGATACTGATATGTGTTTGGTCTGGTCCGTTAAATGATTTGTATCTTGGGAGCACAGTGTAGGAACATTAGTCAGCTGTGAGGAAATTAATACGAAAGTCCAGTCTCTCAGCCTAGAAGAAATGCCCGTGGATTGGGGGCTTCCTGTACCAAATCCAGTATCCCTTTGATTGGGAGATTTGTGAAGCTGCTAGAATTTTTTTTTAACTTCTGGATACTCTTCAAGCTGCGGGAAGCTGTAAATTGCTGGGATTGCAGACATTTCAGGTGGATTTATTAATAATGTATCAGGGCTCAACTACCCTTCTTGGTGAGTTCAGATCATGTGCTTCGCTAAGAGAAGAAATGGGTTCCTGTGGAACAGCACAGTGTGCTCCTAAGTATTTGGCATGTGCTGTTCCCTGATGTAATTCAGCTGAAACCTGTGTGCTCTCCTCCCATTCCTTGTGGTTTGTTTTCCTTGTGAGCTTGTGACTTCCAGGAACCAGAAAACCTCCTGGCTAATGGCTGAGACTCGGCCCTTGGAAAAGCATCAGGACAAATGCTGCTCTGAAAGCGCCATGGGGGATCTTTATGGAGGGGGAGAGGAGCAGGGGCGTGGGGTTTTTAGCAGCAGATCTCAGACCTGTGCCTTTCCCGCTGCGCTAGGTTGATGTTGTTGGTGCTGAGGGGTAAAACCGACTCCCACTGCCTGCGGCGTCTCTGGGGCGTGGCACACGGCGTCAGGGCCTTCCGCAAGGACTGAAGGGATGATACGTTTGGTCATCTCTAGAGAGAGCATAGTGGTGTCAGAGATAGTCGTTCTTGGACAAAAAATCTGAGAACAGTCAGCTTTGTAGGAGAGGCAGGCGTTGGCCGGACGCAGAGGCGACACCGAGCGCCCTCGGGAGCAGCTCAGGCCCGAGCGAGCGTTTCAGCGTCCGGCATCGCGTCCCCGGTCCGTGGTGGCTCAGGGCACGGGCAGCTTTTCCTTACAGAGCTCTGTTTTGCAGCGACAGGGGATCGGAGAGCCCAGCGTGTACCACGCCGTGGTGGTGATTTTCCTGGAGTTCTTTGCCTGGGGGCTGCTGACCACGCCGATGCTGACGGTGAGCAGGAGATATCCCCCCCCCCCCC